CATTTAATATGCTAGCTGTAGCAACATAGTGTAATGTGGTAGAGTAGAGGGGCTAAAAGCTGATCAGCCCTGTTCTGGACTTTCGGAATAGGTAAAGAACTTTTTTAATTCTTAGAAATCTGCTTTTTTTAAAGCACAAAATGTCTGGTCTCTGTGCACTCACTGGTGCTATATTATACTCTACTGAACCCACGCATTTCGCTTATCATATTAATTACATTTCCAGAATGTTTAAAGCAATGATCCCCCTTTACAATACTTAAGCATTTATGTTGCGTCATCAAATTTGGCAGTGTGCAGTTCAGTATAATTTATATCATCCATCTCTGCTCCCGGAGACACAATCCAGGTAACCATTAAAGTGTCAATGTCTAAAAACTCCTAACAATTTAAATTGAATTATTTGTAGATAGAGATATACAAGAGATACCTTAGCTGAGCATATTATTTCCTTAATGGATCAATAAGTTACAAGTTTTCCTAGTTTTTCTGCCAGATTGGGGATCTGTGGGATCACTTTTGGCGATACCCATTTTATTATAATAATGAAAGCAAGCTGCATTTATTATTTTAAAATAGGTGGCTGAGGTTTTCGTTTTTTTTTACCTTGACAATCATTTTAACAGAATCTTCCATAAAACTATATTTTTAATCAATACTAATACCTCTGTCAAATTAGACACTTGACAGAACAGCGATTGTTTATATTATTTTCTGATGCTCAAGTTTCATTCGTTCATGATCATTTACAGTATATTCAAAACCTCAGCATTTTCAGAGAATGACATCAAACCACTTACCTACTAAAGCAGAGTTACAGTGGTCAAATGACAAAAAAAAAACGTTTTCAGTATAGATAAGAGGGATAAAAATGCAAACGTTGGGAAATTGGCAACCAAATCAGCCTAACCCTTCTTAAAAAGGCTTTTTAGCAGCACCAGCTATTTATGATTTTATTTTCTGCTTTATACTGAAGGTTTCAAATTTCTGCATCCAAACTTAAAATGTTTTGCTATTAAAGAGTCCTCTGTAATTCTTCCCATCTTCTCCAATTATGTGAAGTTTACTTTAAGCCACTTTTTTTGCCTCTATGGATTCATTAGCTCTTAGATGCCAACACTGAATAAAATGAGGCTTGTGGAGCTGTACTGGTATGAGATTAAATAAAACATTATTCAGAAACAGTCACTAGCTGCCTTAAATGAAGAAATAACTACAACATGTTTGTTTTAACTCTGCCAGGGTCTGGAAGCTCTGAATATTATGAACCATCCATTTCATTAACAGAATCTCTCCTCCTACCAAACACTTGCTTATAAAATAAAATAGCTTAAGAAGCTAACATTTATCTGCACACACCAAAATCAATTCTGCACATGTTTGTTCTACACAAACCACAAAACATTGCAATGCCCCTTGCCAGAAGAGATACAGATCCAAACAGGATTTTAAACAAAACAGCTTCAATGCAATGAAAGACCTGTAGTAACTGCCCTGCATATTTTAACCCATGTTTCTTCCTCAGAAAAAGGTGGTTGTGGACAAGGTGAAAGGACCCCTGAGATATCAAGAGAAAAGTGATCTACTTTTGGCACCGATAGATTTCTGGAAATAATGCATTTCAAGGCCTCCCTTCAGCACTGTTAAGGTGTGTTCAGCGCATAATCGGTGCTTTGAAAGACAAGGCAGCCCTTTAAAAGCTGGACAGGACCTGTGACTGTGAGTGGGAGAAGTGCTTAATGAAAAGAGAAGCAACATAACTGTGTGCTAAGACCACAATCAAACACTCACAGATGACACCCTGCGTGCCAGAAGTACAAACTGTAAGAACTGAGTCTGCCACTAACGGCTGAGGCAGAGGATGTCACAGTGGCATAGTGGTTAGCACTGCTGTCTTGCAGTGCTAGAGCTCCGGGTTCAAATCCTGGGGTACTATCTGTGTGGAGTTTGTATGTTCTCCCCCTTGCTCAGATTGGTTTCCTCCTTGTGCTGTTCTCCCCTCCACAGTCCAAAGACATGCAAATAGGTGAACTGGCTTCTGGAAAAACTGGTCACGGTGTGCGTCTGTATGCGTGTCCTGCCAATGGACTGGCATCCCAGTCAGGGTGTACCCTGCCTTGCACCTGTTGCTTGCTGGGATAGGCACCGGCGCCCCCGTGACCCTGCACTGGATACGAGCGGTTAGTAAATGGATCGATGGGGTGTGGCAGAACATCAAAAAAAGCAAAGGTCTGAGACTTTGACCTAAATCAATGAGGTCATGATGTCGTTTATGATGTCGATAAAATCACTGGCACGGCTCCTAGAATATACTGCATCCTAAGATTAGTTTTTAAAGGAATAAAAACAAAAACGCACAGCAACTCTATGTTAACGAGGCACAATCCCCACCCATCACGTAATGTAAAAAGTCCGAATTCATTGAATTACTAACGGTGAAATGTGCCTGGTATAACCGTTCACATTTAACAACCTGGAGTTGTTAAACAGCGGTCTGTCCAGCGTGCAACACCAGTGTATAGAATAATTTACAGACCGTTCCAACGCTTCTATGGACCAGTTCACTGCAGGCGAATTTGTCGCGGGTTCCACCATTTCCAGACCTTTAACTTTTACACCCCACCCGCAACATCTAACCCGATCGCTTTGTCACGTGTTCAAGCGTAACAAACCCCCCTTTTTTTTTTAAAGTTGAAAGGGGCAGTTTTTTTTCCCCCCAACTAGGAAAACATATGTATGTAAAAGACGACGGCACTTCCCACTCACACTAATTGCACGCAGTTAATCTGCAATTATCTTCCAACTATATCTGCGTTATATTACAATCAAACGCATCTAACGAAGTAAAACATGTTTTGTAAGCGCGCAAAATCTAAGAGACAGGGTAATTAATTCAGGAGCTTTAGTTAGGGTAACACGCAGTGAAGTGAACTGAATGCATCCACTGTACCGTGAGTTAACTGTGACAGTATCGCATAACCGGACACCCCCGACACGATCACTTATTGCAAAGACTGCTGCAGTCGAGGAGGAACGGCAGAGGCGTTCATATCTGCGAGCAAACTGGATTTTATTTCACAGGCTGCAGGTGGCTGCCGAGGGGGAAAAACAATATGTAATCTGGGTCATGCAAAGATTCGTCTTTGTGATTAGCCTCTTTAAATAAACTGCACAATCCGATCGCTTTACTTTCTCCGGGCTGCTCACTGCACAACACTCGCTCTGCACAGCCTTCTCCCCTGCACAACGGATGAGGGCGGTCGCTTCAAAGAAGGAAAACACAACTTTCTCCCCTGAGTCTGCCACTGAGAACTGTCGCGGCTTCCCTAACCCCTCCAGCCCCCATCGCACGCACGCAATTTCCCCGCATAGCAAAGAGTTGTAAAAAAAAAAAACACAACAAAAAAAAGATGTTTATGTGTGGATGTGGAAGAGGAAAACTTACTCTGTTCGGTTTCGGCCTTGCATACACGCAATCTTGGGTAAACAAAAAAAAACCACACAAAAAAAAAGAAAAACACTGGTGCACAAAATCCCCCGCCAAAAGGACACGGAGAAAAAGCGCGCCCCGCGATAGCGTATATCTCCGCGCCGCTCCGCGGGGAAAAAAAAAATACGAGACACACCCCCCCTGATGACGTCACTCCGTCGCGAGAGGGAGGGGAGCACGAAGCGCGCGCGACGCAAAGACCGCAAACTCCCCCGGCTGCGACCGGTACCGGCACCGGCACCAGGGTTTCCAGACTAAACCCACCGTGTCCTGCCCGACTTCCTTCTCGCTTAATTTCACACGTTCCAGCGTTATAACTAACCTTCGTCGTCTTCCACCCCTTGCCCTCATTAAGATGAAGACTAATGTTTCGGACGTTTGTGTGTCAGACCAGCGAAGCAAAGCCTACTTTTAAGGCTGGGAGGTCTCGTATTTCTTTTTTTTTTAAAGAGCAAGACTATAAAACTTCAAAATACAAATGTAAAGGAACCTTTAAAGTGCAGCAACACTTTAAATACTGTGATATAAGCGCCTAGAGGCTGCTAGGAGGATGTTCACTAGAGATTTCCTCTAACTTAAGCCAAATAAATTGCAATTATATATATATTGAAATACGTTCGAACGTCACATTTTAACACTTCACACATCGTATTTCTCGATGGATATGATCGAAATAATTAGCATTTTGCTGAAGGTAAGAAGAACACACGAGCTGGTATCAAGCTGGTACAAAAATATAATATATAATATAATGGTATACATCATTTTCCAGCAGACTGACAAGGAGTGGGAGCAAAGCACACGATCATCTTCTGATCATAGCGGACAGACGCTGTGAAGGTAATAAATACAGATACAGTACCTCCATCTAGTGGAGTGAAGAATAACATTAGCAGTTGTATTCTGCACTTCCTGGGTGTTCTTTGTTGAAGAAAAACAAATAAAAATATATATTCCGTCACATGCGGCTACTTTCAACGAGTATTTACAGTTGTGAGTCATACTTTACACTATGGGACATGCAAGCATATAATGTATAGCCAACACAGCATGCTGAGTCTGTAGTCAATACTAAATAAAGACTTTTTGCGCATCAATAAACCCACAAAATTATGTTTTCTTACTGCACGTTCCCGTTAGTGATATGCAGCCTTTTAAAGATAATTGTACAACGTTAAACGCATTAATGTTGATCTGCCGTATGCCTTGTCGCATACGTCTGTGTATGTGTAATGTTTACTGTCCTGAAGCTGGGACAATGTCTTTTCCTTTCAAAGTCGCTTTTTAGGGAATCAGAAAGTGTTACCGCCCATACTGCGGCACACCTGCGGTTTGGGGGTGTCGCAGAAAGCGAATTTATCTTCAGGTCTCACAAAAGCAAAGCCCCAAGGTACAAAACCAGCCTTTCAAAATAAATACACTGTGAGGAAACAATGCAAAACCACCAAGACAGAATGAAAGCCTAGACTTCCTCAGCCTCTATCAATAAACGGGCTACTGAGCTGCTTACCAGCTTTCGCAGTAAAGACTCTTTGACGTCTTCCAAAGATACTCACTTCAAAAACTCCCAATTCCTAAGTTTCACATGGTATTTAGTATTCAAACAACAAATCAAACCACCTTAACAGAGCTTCAATTTCCGGTGTTTTTAAATAAGGGCGGCAGCTCACGCCCCACACAGCATTCTGGGAAATGTAGTTCATGCACAGGATCTCCATCTTGTCTGGACCTACCGCCCTTTTGCAGTGCAGAGATTTACAATGCAATTATTTATTATTTATTCTCTAGTTGTGTCAGATATTACCAATGTAAATGAAAACCACGTTTAATCTTTGTATGGTTACAGTATGCCTGAAATATGACTCCAAAGCTCTTTATCTTCTGAAGTTGTAAAGCCTGAACTACTGTACATATGCCTAGCAGGAAAGTGCTGAACAGAGGTATTGAAATCGAGGTACAAATTTCCTAGAGGGTCCCATGTAACACTCTAGAAGTACCTGTGGTGGCTCTGTGGCTAAGGATCTGCGCCTGTGGCTGGAAGGTTGCCGGTTCAAATCCCACAGCTGGCAGAGGAATCCTACTCTGTTGGGCCCCTGAGCAAGGCCCTTAACCCCAACTGCTCCAGGTGCGCTGTACAATGGCTGACCCTGCGCTCTGACCCCAGGCTCTCTCCCTGTCTGTGTGTCTCATGGAGAGTAAGCTGGGGTATGCGAAAAGATAATTCTTAATGCAAGAAATTGTAAAGGGTTAATAAAGAAATGTTGTTGTAAAAAAAAAAAGAAGTACCTGTCTGGATGTGGTTATTACAAATGATACAACATGCGGCACCATATTGTAGTAAGCATTGAAGTAATGACCCAAGCTGATTTAAATAGATTGTTTTTTACATCTGTGGTCTCCTATTCAAGAGCCAAAGTTTTCCCTTGGCTTATTGTGAGAATTTAAAGACATTATGCCTTCATTTATCTTACAGTATGCTTAATTATCCAAGGTTGCTTTTTATTCAATGGTCTGCAGACACTTTGGAGATGTTACTTTGCCTTACATTTTAAGCTATCCCAGTAGACATACAGAGACTGCGTCAGTGCTGGCCCACTATTAGACAGGCCTAAAATTGTTGCAACACACACATGGAGAAAAAAAAACCAGTGGGATCTCCGAAGCGTAGTATCATAGTCGAAATCCAAGCTCCTACGTGTATCACACTACAGCCCTCACTATATACACAAGAGCGTGTAGGTTTGGGAGATTGGGTTTGAACTAGCAGTTATCACCATCCACCTTGAAGAAAATGAGCAGCAATCATTCACATTAAGCAGATTTATGTGTCAATGAGCTGAGCTCCAGATGTATAAAAGAGTGACTTCATTGTGACGTTCTTTGCGCGTGGGACGAAAGTCAGTGGTTAGAGGTGGGATAACTAACCAATGGGACAAACCAGTCCGACCAGCCAACCAAACCAGCTGCCTACTGTTGTGGCAGGGCTCAGGGGCTCAGTAAATATAATCCAGTCCTGGACTTGTCATGCTATGACTGGTCCAATGTTTACTGATTACCTGTGAACTACGGAGAAATGCTCATTCCTGGCTGCGCCCATGGGTACATACGCAAAGCAAATTACATTAACAGATTAAGGGGGATTTAAAAGGCAAAGCTTGTTTCAGTGAATGCAAGCTTATCTTCTTGGGAGGGGTCTGATGATACCGCCGAGTCTGACAAAGGACTGGTGCACACCCTCGTCACAAGACCTCTTCTGAGGTCTGTCACAAACCTTTTCACCTTTTTTACTCACCTGTTGCCATAAAACCCCTGACAAAGTCACTTTCTTTGTATTTTTATATGGAATGTAAAAATTTGTTGCCATAAAACCCCTGACAAAGTCACTTTCTTTGTATTTTTATATGGAATGTATCGTTACAGTGTCGTACCAATGTACGTATGGGTAGATTTGTGTCTGTCTCATCTGTTGTGAATCCAACAGTCTAGTCGTTATGTTTGTTCCATCACGCTGTGACTGTCAGGCCCGACAACCCTCCCTAGAGGGCGCTCCATTACGCACGTTATCATTCCTGTCATTGTCGTTAACTCCCCAGGTGTACCTTGTTATTAACCCTTTACAATTTCTTGCATTAGGAATTTTTGCATACCCCAGCTTGCTCTCCATGAGTCACACAGACAGGGAGAGAAGCTCGGGGTCAGAGCGCAAGGTCAGCCATTTTACAGCGCCCCTGGGGTTAAGGGCCTTGCTCAGGGGCCCAACAGAGTAAGATTCCTCTGCCGGTCACGGGATTCGAACCGGCAACCTTCCAGCCACAGGCGCAGATCCTTAGCCACAGAGCCACTGCTCCGCCCCCGATTATGTGTATTATTTAAAGACTAGCTCCTTCAGTCCTCGGGGCTCAACATTAGGGTAAGCACGTCGCGAGGCCCGCCTGGCACCAGGATACCCTACGTCTGTCTCCTGAGGGCACAGGCCTCATCCCCGACACCTCCTGCTTCCTGAGCCCGGGGTTTGGGGGATCTCGCCCACATCACCCTCGGATCTCCATGTTTTGTCTGTTCGTGTTTTCCCCCTTCCCGGGGGATTTTAACCTTGTCGTGTCCCAGGATGGATTACTCGCTGATGGACTCCCGGACTGGGCCCTGACCTGCCTTTGGACCCTTTTGGATTTGGATGCGGTTCTTTGTCTCCCCCGTTCACTGTCTCGCGGACTGTCACTGTTATTTTGTGCACTATTAAACCCCTGTGTGTTTTCCCATACTACGTCTTCTGTTTTCTCCAGCTCTTACCACATCGCATGGGGTCTCCTACAAGACCCGACACGGGCATCTGTCCGTGGTCGGAACAGTGACGGGTTTCAGACCCTGACTCATCTCTGCTTTAAATGGAAATTTCCTTCCTGTCCATCAGTTAGCGCCAGGGAGGATATCGGAGTATTGAACGGACACTCCTGGTGTAGCAGGTTATTCTGTTTAAGTCTAGTTTTGAGTCTGTGCGATAGTAACACAGGATGGAGTTTGTTCATTCTTCAATGGAATGTCTTTTTTCACCTCTTTTTTTTTTTACAAGTATTTTCTTAACAAAGAGCACATTAAGTAAACAAACACCTTTTTTACACAATCCTTTGGTCTTTTTCTTATGACTCCTGGACCCACCTCTGAGATTATAAATCAGTAATTCTGGTCTCAGGTTTTTTTTTTTATCACACTGAGTATGTAGTGCTTAACCCTAGAGGAAAGTTAACACAATTCAAAGAAGTTCTTGATTTTCTCTGCCGGCTTTTAAAAAACATCCCTAAATGTTTCATATTTTAAGGTGTAGTCTGTTGCCTCTTATAATTTGCAAATCCTTATATTTTAATTGATTTTATAGTGTCATATTTGGCCTTGAAATGCTGAAACCATAACACCCGGACTGCTATTATTTGTTTAATTCTTGGGTTCAATGTTAACAAGGTGAATGTGCTCTGGCAGAAATATTAACGGCGCTGCTCGTTTCGTAACCCATTACGGGACATTAAAGATTCTGTGACGTTTTGTTTTTCAAGAAATGGAAATCCCGCCAGCGGTTTAAAAACGTGTGTGAGACTATTTATCCTGCAGATGGCGTCTAAGCACCGCACATCGAAGCTGTGAAGACAAGTTGCTCTTCGCCAAATGCTGGTTTTCTTTTGATGCAGCTAGCATTGCGGTTCTTCCTTCTTTTCCTGAACAGGCGTGAGATTCAGCCAATGTTCGCCCGCACATATTCAATGACAGACAAAAAATAATGTTCTGTGATTTATTTTGCTTGTTGTCGTACTCTAATAGATGAACGGTGATTTGAGTCTTTTTCTTTTCAGTGCATACATATTTATTTATTTACACGCTGCATGCTGTGAACCTGTGCGAAACCTTGACATTAATGCAAGTAGACTAGATGAGCGGTTCTCTACCATTTGTAGACCAGGGAGCAGCTCCCAGGGGTCTTCCTTCGTTAAGGACCCCTTCGGCTAAAAAACGACCCGTAGCAAGAATACAATTTAATCGATAACATTACTGAAGGTTACGGCGGGGACCGGACATTATTGCTCCAGGGACTGGAGTACCACCGTGTACAGTAAAGCTCTATTTTTTAAAAGGCTTCAGAAACTGAAATTAAGTTCAGAATAATTCAGAATCAGTTTTAAATTGTGAATGATTACATTTGAACTCCAGAATGTATAACTTGAAGCATGGACATCATATACACTATCCCCCCCCACAAAAAAGCCTCATAGACTTATAAGAAAAGTAGGTCTTCAAAAATTTTACGGGAAACAAGTATACATTTATTTAGAATCCCAACTTATTTATAGTTAGTGAGTTCATTTTGTTTAAAACGTTGTAATTGTAATGCTTTCATTTTCATTTCTCTCTTTTTTTTTACAAGAAATGAGATCTGACTGGTGGAAAAGATCTCTTTGGGATTTCCGGAGTACGCAAACATCAGGAGCTGGGGAAACTGTATACAGTCTCAGGGGCATCGACACACTGCACCGCAAGGACACTGAAGTACACCGGGATCATCGTCACCCGGAGCAACCAGCCACTGACATAAACACTGGCAAACCCGGGTGCTCAAACTTAATTTACTTTAAAAAACTGGACTACAAAAGGAGAGCTCTGGAGTTTAATTAATTTGGATTGTGGAAGTATGGATTATAGCGCAAGCCACCCAGCCGTGCTGTTGAAGACAATTACCTGGGTTCTTTCAAGGAATGGTGGATGAAATACTAAGATCAATTAACAATTAACTATCAAACAGGGTACATGGGCCAACCGGTGTCCTCTCCTTTGTAACCATTCCTGTTTTCGTAATTCATCCGCCTGTACAGAAAGCAGAGCAGTGATAACAAGTGTATATATATATATCTTTTTAAATTTTTTAATAAGTGGGTTATTTTCAGAGATGGATGTGTGCTTCTCCTCAGCGTGATGCACAAAGGTAAATACTGTAGCTGACAGGTAACGTTCCATGTGCATGTCAGCCAGTCATATCTGCAAAGGGCTGGTGAATATGTCTTTAAACCACTGAGGCTGAATGGGACACCTTGAAATTATCCGCCTTCTTGACAAGATAAAGCAGAGAGGTGTTCTGTTTGCACTCCCAATCCACTGCATCACTGGACTGCCAGGCACACATTCCAAATATCCACTGGACTTCTCCCTTTCGATCCCACATCCACGCAAATGAACTGCGCACCGCCAGAAAGCTACATCGAGATGTACAGTAATAACAAGCTAGTTTGCTCAAATGTATTTGCATGTTAATCGCATCTCCAGCTATTTATTTAATTATTCGTTTTTTAAAAAAAAAACTTAGCATATCTATGATTTATATAATTCAATATACGATCTAAGTTAATAGTATAGTAGTATCATATGGTGTGGTATACTGTAGGTTTTGAGTTTTTTCCTCTTTTGTATCATTGTATCATTTGCTCAGTCGTTGCCTAATCGGTAGAATGAGGCACCTGTCCAGCCAGTGTCACATCCCGGGCAGGGGAGACTTGCGTGTTCTGGAAGTAACCGTCTCACTTTTCCAATGATTGGCAATCGGAGGCTCCAGCCTCCTCCGTGTTCTGTTGACAAGACAGGTGACCTGTGAGATCGAGGTTACACTTAGCAGGCTATTGTGTTCAGCGCCATGTCATCATGAATCTGGAAAATGTAAGAGTACTCGATACATTTGTTCATAAAGTGTTTGTTATTTATTGTTAAATCCATGTTTTGTGATGTTATTGGTTTTCTGAAAAGAGTATCCTACTCCCATTAATTTTACTAGCGCAGTAACTCCAAAGGCTGTACTACAACAGTGTAGAACCATTGACCTATTAACTGCAAATACACTGTTGCTATTTGTAATCCTGTTTTCTTCCATTATTTGCAAACCCCCAATTAAAAGTTGGATTTATATTATACTATGATGACTTCAAAAGAAACCAGAAAGAAAATATCCTACTAGTGTTTTGTTTTGTTTGTTTGTTTGTTTTTGTTTGTTTTTACAAATGCTTGCAATCTTATTTATAAAAAGACATTTTACTTAGTTACACCTCAACCAATAATTCTTTATTCTTACCTTTTCTACCTTCCTTTTGGTACTATTGTACTAATATTTTGCAGTTATTTTTATTTTAATATAACATTATATTAAATTACATTACATTATAACACCTTCATTCTTCAATAAGTCTGTTATATAGAAAATGATACAACATGTAAAGCTGACTCTGAGGACCAGAAATCTATCTAAACAATCCAATCAAATAATGAATCTATATATTTTATTTTTGAACGATTATCAATTACCTAAATATTTACATAAGAAAATCCTGGAATACATTTCTAAAATACATTTATTTTTAATAAAAATATAAGGTGTACTGTATGCACTGTCTGATTCCATGCTACGGGGTGGCGTGGTGGCACAGTGGTCTTCATTGTTGCCTCAAACCTGGGGCCCTGGGTTCAATATCTGGGGTGCTCACTGAGTGGAGTTTGTGCAGTATGTTCTTCCCATGATCCCATGGGTTTCCTCTTGCAGTCCAAAAAGACATGCTGCTCGGTTAATTGGCCCTGGTGTGAGTCTGTTTTCCTGTCTCTGTGTGCCCTGCCATGGACTGGTGTCCTGCCCAGGGTGTACCCCACCTCGCACCCGTTGCTTGCTAGGTTCCAGCTCCGCAGTGACTACCCCCCGTGACATGTCTGTGTCTGCGCATGCTCTGCAACAGACCAGCGTCCCCCTCCAGGGTGTACCCCACCTCGCACCCGTTGCTTGCTGGGATAGGCTCCAGCTTCCCTGCGACCCTGGGCTGGATACAGCAGTCAGAAAAAGGATTGATGGGTGTATTCTATACAGTGCAAAAACAATGGATGTCCACACAAAAACATCCTTCATGTGATCAAAGTTAATAGAGGAAATTAAATTAATATGAAAAAAAGAGAAGAGCCCTAAAACCAGAAACTGCTCATTTTTGTGATTTTTTTTAATACCTATGTACCACGTTTAGTGAAAATGTAATTGTTTTGAAAAGAAAGGGTCAGTTTTTAACACTTGTACCACCTGAAAACACAACAGATGAATCTTTGTTTAGATAAGTATTAAACAATGTTAACTCAGCCCTTAATTAACTGACCAATTAACAAAATCTGAATAGTATGTAAATTCAAATGGTTATTATTTTCACACAATAACCCTTTGAATAGAGCTCATTAATGTGAAGCTTATAGGAATAGCCAAAAAATAAGGAGAACTAGATGAGGAGGAGAGAGATTTTTCATCAGACTATACAGAAAAGACCAGAAGCTTAAATGAGACTGTGAAACAGTAAAAATGTGGAATATTAAAATTCTATTGCTCTAATATATAAAGAAAAATCATTTAAGCATTATCTTCGAAAAATTCTGATGAATTAATAATTGAAAAAAGAATGTGAAAAATGAAAATTTAACATGAGTTTATTTTATTTTCTGCAGTGTATAATTTTTAATTATGTCAATAACAGTTTTCTTAATTTTTGATAAGATTTGGTCATGCTTCGTATTAGCTGTGCCGAGCTTTACGAATTAATTAGGTGATCACAGTAATTACTGTTTATATTGTTGTTAATGAGCCAAAAGGCAAGTTGCCACAATCATCCAAATTAAACACATGAGGCATAAAGCCAAAAAAAGCCCAGATAAGAAGAAAAAGTCTGACTTAGAACTCGCTGTATTGAAAACATAATTTTAGAAAGAAGCAATTATACTTGCCTTACTTACAAACCTTACCATGCTTATTTTTAAATTATCATCTTATTTAATTTAAAGCGTATTTGTGTATATATTAAACACAATAAAATAACAAAAATACAGTTTTGTAGAACACAAAGGCAATTGTGTCTTAAGCAGGAGCAATTGTCTTGTGCAGAAGAAATTGTGTCTTACTGTATGCTACAGTCATTGCGTCTTGTGTAGATGTAATTGTGTATTGTGCAGGAGTAACTGTGTCTTGTGCTGAAGTAGTTGTTTTGTGCTGCTATAATTGTGTTTTGTGTTGGTGTTGATTTTTCTGTCTTCTGTATAAAGTCTTCTATGTAAAGTGATAATCCTGGTATCATCAATACTACAAAAAGATCAGGTCAACAGATTTACATTTTGGTTGGAAATAAATTTCAGTTTTATGGTAAGGAATACGACTATGCCGTAGATGTAACGACCTACAGCTTTCTCTGCTTGAATTAAAAATTCAGAACTATTTTTCAGTAGTTCAGACAAAATTCTAATTAACGTGACGAGATGGCGAATATAAAATAGAGAATGAATGACTACTAAGAATATGTGGTGGGAGGAGGGGAGGTGAAATATGTACATGCACATGTGTGCACAATAGGCAATCCCGAACTGCATTTCTTCGTTTTTCACTATATCCAGAATTACGTACAGTATGTTTTCAAACTTGTGCTCTGCAGCCGACACCATCCCCTCTCTTCAAAGCGATACTTCACACTGTCATTTTTATTGGGAGATTCGATTTTTGTTTCCCGCTTACATTTTCCCTGTCTCGTATTTTCATTTCATTTGATTTTCCATCTTTGTTTCCCTGGAGCTTGTAGTTTGACCAGGAAACAACCTTTTGTGGGAGAAAATAGCTGCTCAGTCATTTCCAATTCACCTTTGAGAACCTTTTGCATAACATCTTCATTTATCTAGGTTACAGTGGAGGGAGCTGTGGACTGCTAAGGGACACGTAGAGGTGAATTCCATGCTGAAAAGTAAAAAGAAGAAAAAAACACAACATTTAGGTCTGAGGTCTAAAGGTGATTTTTCTTTTTTTTCTTTTTTAGCATATACTTAACACACGTAAGTGCTAACACATGTATCCTAGAAGCCAAATGTCTTCGCAAAATTCCTATTTACCAGCTTTTGGTGGTGCAAGAGAGTCACATTACTGCAGCAAAAGAGCCAAGCTTTCATTGTGGTCACCAGGGGGCAAATTCACAAACGGAATCAAAATCACACACTGCCGTACTTTAACTTGTTTGGATTATTTATCCGACTCCTTTTTTTGGTGGTGGGGAGTGAAATACTGCATACGCAGCATCACTGTCGCCTTTTGTTCCAATCCCTGTCTTCTCTCTGGAAGCAGAGAAGAAACAGATAAAACAAGTGGGGCTCATGAACACATCCTGGAAGTGTTGACACAGTGGACAAACGGTGCTCTTCTTTGAAATGAAAATGGCAGTAGGATCAGTAAAGACTATTTCGGAATAACAATGCAGAGATACAACAGACGGTTGCTGTACAGTATTTATAAAAATGTTTGCTCCTTGCAGTGAAAATCACACTGTGTGATTGTTTTTCTTGCTTGATAAACACATGGACATGGTAGTGGAAAAATAAGGGTTATGACTTTGCATCACATTACAGTAATGATTGGTGTAATTCAACTTAGTTTAGTTTAATAGCTTTTTTTCCTTTCATGTTCTTTCAGGATCTGTACATTGCAGTTCCTATCCAAGGACTGGCTCCTCCAATTTGCTTGTTACTGTAGGTGTCAGTTGGACAGTGGGAGAGATCACTTTACACAAGATTTTTTTCGAATGGATTTAACGCAGTGAATGCATCAGTTTTACACAATGCCGTCGTGGATAATGCAATTAGAGCCAATTTAAACATTGGCACAGCTCCACAAGGAACGCTTTGAAGGGCAGCAGAATGCCGGTGGTCAAGAGGATCTTGTGTACAAGCTGCAGTTTAGAGTGTGAGCTCCATTGCTGCAGCTGAACTGACACAAACTGCGGATTTGATGGTTAAATTATCGACTGGCTTCCTAGCAACCCTGTAGCTTTTTGAGAGTTGTACTTTTAGCTGTCACATCTGAACCCAAAATACTATAAATGTCAACCTGCCAAGATTACAAGAAGTGTAAGATTTTCCACACCCTAAGCCCATACTACCCCCCCTCTATTATCTTGCCTGACGTTCCCTCACGAAGACATGTAATGTCAAGTCACTTAGTGAGGACAGGCAAGTCACTTCATTAAAAAAAATAATTATGTTATCATTTGAGAGGAGTAAGACCCCAGAGCCCCTAGGCCCACATTTCCATTGTGTCACAGGGGGTGATTTTTTTTTGTTTTGAGACAGCTTTCAAGTCTTTTTTTACCCTGATGACCAGGGCCTTTCAGCAGCACATGAACGAGAGTCACTGGCAGAACTCCTGCTGCACCCTGCAACCCAGGGCCCTGCCTACTGCCAGGCGTGTAGTGGGGTTGTTGTGTTCTGCAGAATACCGTTGGCCCTCACCTCTGTCTTCTGTCACATGAGCAGCCTCATTTGCATAGTTACATGGTTTCCTGAGAAACTCTCCAGGCAGGGCTCTGCAGCTTTCACACCAACCGTTTTGCCTTTTTTTTTTATTTGCAGCGATGTCAGGAAAAAAATTCAGGACATCAAAAAAGCAGAAAGGGCTGTTTTAGCACCTGTCAGGGGTTCAGGAAGTCCTTTTATTGGGAGTGATGAGAATTAATATGGAGGTAGTGAAGACAAAGGATTAATGCCAGTTCTAAGCACTCTCCTTTGCAGGTGTGTGCCTATTACAGAAGATGTGCAGGCCCGATGATTGTGTTACATGCCGAAACGGTGCTTCAATTAGGCTTTTTGACTGATGCCAGGTCTAATAAACCTATTTACAGAAGGTCACCCAGCATGGCAATTACATGCAGAAATCTGTTTGTGCCAGTGCCCGCGATAAAGTGATCTTCACAGAGCCCTGTATGAAAACTGTCGGCTGTTTAATTAACAGTCATTTCCTTGGCATACAGAAGCAGCTGCCTTGCTAACGACAGCAGCTCGAGGAGAAAGCATGAAAAATCGGCAGATGTGAGAACAACAACAAAAAAAAAGGGCGGCTTTTTGTGTCCGAGGAAAACCTGTACAATATCTAGTGAGGACGTGCTGGTTGTGCGGTATGAAAAATTAAATATCATTATTTTTTTAATATGAAATATTAATAACTCTGCCTTGTGTTTCTAGCAGGCATTTATCTAATAGAGCTTCTAATTAACATGTCTGGTGGCCTTATTTGTCTTGCTGGCATTCATTGTGCTTGTGAATTAGAATCCGACTACACTAATGTACTTATAAATATTAAACCTTTTTGTTTCTTCACTTTTTAATCAGACAGAAAAACGCAGCGTGTCATATTGTTTCTTTTTTTTTTCCCCCACTAAAGGCCATGCCGGTCACAAGGTATTTACTCATGAATGCTAGGCTTTCCCCTCAAGGACTTGATTTGTGTCATTTTTTCAACAGGGACACTGCACCCAGCAGAAATTGCGCCCCACCCGATGTAACTGAACAATACGCCATATGAACTACTGGGGTCTGAGGGTTTCATGAATCTTACATCGGCCATAACTATGATTCAACTGGACAGCAATACACTAAGGTAAAGCATTTTAAGCAGCTTAACACATATAAGTTGTTCAGAGCGGAATTACCACCTTCTGGCAAAGTTTTGGTCCACTGGAGCAATGAATTACATAATTGATTCCTTACTTGACATTGCAGTCTGCTTAATTTGAACTCTTTGTTTTCAGTTCATTAACAAGTACGGGGTTGTCTTTTAAGTACTGTGTTTCTTGGGTAACTAAAAATCCTTTTCAGTATTAAAAATAAAACTGCAGAGTTCCAACTCGGCACCTTGTTGGTTGAATGAAGGATGGATTGAAATTAAGTTGCAGTGATAACCAGCAGCTTTGGGTGTTTCCCCGGGACCGGGACTGGTAACCTCTGTTGTCAGTGGTGCTGGTGGACCAGTAGGTGGCTTTCTTCCCCACTGGGCCAGAGTTTCCAAACCAGTGACTGACTCAGTAGGGTGGCCAGGGGACATTGTGCTTTAGAAGGTGCTGTCCCTCAGATCAAACTTTAAACCCAAGTTGTGACTAATTGGCCATTGAAGATCCCATGGCGCTGCTTGTAGGAACAGGGGTGTTAAAGATAGTGGCATGGCTAAGCCTCACCATGACTGGCACAATCTAGGCTCCCTCTCAATTAAACTGGCGAGGTCATTCCTCACTCCTCCCTAAAGCGACAGGATTGAGGGCCTGCTGGTGCAGAAAAGCTGCTCCACAGCACTCATGTGATTATTGCTCTTAAACAATAGAGGAAGTGAGTCCCCCTCCTATGTACAGTATAAAGCAATTCTGAAATCTTTTAGATTTTAAAACCACATGTAAATGCAAGGAATTAGACTGCCTTCTGCAGTGAGCTGCTCTTAACATTCTTTTAGTTTGTGTTTCTAAAGCACTGTATAAATGCAACAGTCAATGCGACTATGTTCTCCTCCCTACAGTGGTATCCACGATCTTAGCAAGCATAACTTTCCTTTTCCAAATTCTGAGACATGATTGCTATAGTGTTGTTCAGAGAGGGGGTGCCAATACTTTTGGACTTAGATTTCTGTGGAAGTTTCTATAATAGATGTGTATGGATTTGAATGAATCCATATTAATACAGTTAAAGTAATTACAAAATTGTATCTTATTTCATAAACAGTATGCTTAAAAAGGTGTTATGCTGCTCTGTCAAGTATTTTAAGCAGTTTGTAAGGTAGCTCTTGGAAGAACTCGCTCCTGTGCCTTAGAGATGATACAGCAGAACTGTAGGATTATTCACCATAACCTCTAAATGTCTGTACGTCCGGAAAATTCTGTTTTTATTAGTTATCGATTTGCAGAGTTCTCTGCCATTTTTAGAAAGTGTACCATTTAAAATGTATTTTGTTCAAAGAACAACTTCATGAAATTGACTATATAACGCCAGAGGACATTTAAATCACCCCTACATATTCACTGCTCATATCTGATGTTTATCCTAAGTCTTGTCCTACCTGATAAAGTCAATAAAATAATCGCTTTGTTTCGTTGTGAGTGTTCGTTGAGAATGTGACTGATGACATGCTTGAAAACAGCAGTGCCAGCCATCATACAGTATATCAGTTTACCCAAACCAATTAGCTGCTTTCTTCTCCTGAAAAGGAGATACATCCCTCAACCATCTGCCCAGAAGAAAACTTCAAAAGCAGCCTTCTTTGTAAATACCCTCTTCCACGTTGTGTTGTGCAGAATGCAGCCCTTGAAAAGTATGTAGAATCCTTTCTCAGAGTTCAATTATTTTCGTGAAAACTAAAAACACTTTCTAGTGGCTTTCAATGTCATTAATCGCAAACAAACATTGATAGCTGGGCAGAGAGTGCACCTCTTTATGTTCCATGTTCCATAGACTTCAGATTTGAGGATAGGAAAGTGTCTGAATCTTAGGAGAACCATTATGTATTATGAGCTCTATACTATTATAGTGAAACATTGAAGCAGACGGTAAATTTTTTATCTCTCTGGAATATTAGTATTTGAGCTGTAGCATCCAGTACAGAGGACATTTATTGAATTTTGCCGGGTCAGCACCTGAGCTATTTCCCACCCTCAGCTTTGGGCTGTGAGACAAATTCTCAATGCTCATTTCCTGATCTCACCACCGTGCTCGAGGGGAACATTTCACGTTTCACAGGGACGGCATTAAGGGACTTGTTAAACAAAAGGTCAGGAAGAGGTCAATTCTAAACTTGCACTGCTGCTCTGTAGCCGTTACACCAGAGGTTTAAAATGGTAACAAAGGGGGTACTCTAGTCTGACAATGCCACCTAGTTTCACAGAAAGGTAGGACCTCTTGAGTCTATAGTCTGGGGGTTCCCAAAGTATAAGGGCCGTCTGTTTGGGGCAGCTGCCATGGTGTCAACAACAAGATGCACACAGCATTCAAACCCACTAGGTTTATTCTCAGCAGGTTAGTATAGCTTAACAAAATAAAGTCACCTCCATAATCCCCCCGTGGGAAAGTTTTATGCACCATAGTGCACGACACATCACCTCCACTATGGATTCGATTGTGCTAATCGGTCCCGTCCAATACAACTCTACAGGGACAGACAGACATTACCGACGGACGAAAAGAATGGTTCAAAGAGACAGACAAGGGCGATCTCTCCCCGTTTTTATACGGGAAAAGGTGGGAAGAGGAGAACCTCGAGGGGAAAGGGCAAGATCCCCTGGGTGCAGAATACAACACAACTAACGCTTGTGTCTGCTTCCTGGACTTCCAAGGCTCTACAGGAAATCCTCTTCTCTCTTCAGTGTCTACTTGGCTGCTCCGTTATACGTAGGCACTCCAGCCTTTTTTCATTTAATTCAGCCAACGGTAGCAGTTGTCACTGCTTGGTTTTCTAGGTGCTCGTCCATTCTCAAAGAAACAGGCAGGCAAGTGCTCCATCATTGAGGAGATCTGCATCTGTATTTCTGGTTGTTCCCTTTGAGGGATTTGATCTCGGGGCCAGGACAGTCATTGTTTCATCCAGGCAAGTTAAAGCCAAAAACGTTATATTTGTTATCTAGTCTCATTGTCAGATGTTTATGAGGAGGTCTTCACTCTCTTACGTATAAATACTTAGCCGTTATGCACAAGTTTTTGTGCATCTTCTCAGGCTCCATATCTCCACCCCAGCTTCACCCTTGCAGCTGCCTCCCTAGTTCATTCCTCCCTGGCCCATTCTTTGTAAGTGAAGGGGTTTTAACAATACTAATGTTACAGCAGGTGCTGTGCTTTCCTCGGCTTTGTGAGTAAACGCCAAACACTGAAATATTAAATAATAATAATTAATAATTCCTTACACTTATATAACGCTTTTCTGGACACTCCACTCAAAGCACTTTACAGGTAATGGGGACTCCCCTCCACCACCACCAGTGTGTAGCCCCACCTGAATGATGCATCAGCAGCCATAGTGCACCAGTATGCTCACCACACACCAGCTATCAGTGGGGAGGAGAACAGAGTGATGAAGCCAGTTCATAGATGAGCATTATTAGGAGGCCATGATTGGTAAAGGCCAGGGGGAAATTTGGTCAGGATGCCCCAACTCTTTTCGAGTGACCATATAGAGTCAGGACCTCAGGTTTCCTTCTCATCCGAAGGACGGTTCCTTTTTCCGTCACCCAAACCCACACCCATCACCCACATAGACTGCGGACTGAGTGCCCCCTACTGGCCCCACCACTTCCAGCAGCAACTGTCCAGCAATCCAGGTACTGACCAGGCTTACACCTGCTTAGCTTCAGTCGGTTATCAGTTGTGAGTTGCAGATTGATAGTAGGTGTAGGCCTGATGTAGGTAGCTAGTAGGCTATCCCTTTATATCTGATATTTCTGTTATATCTGTAATTAGAATTTGACCGAACTTCTAAAATGCCAGTGGTGCATATTGTACTTCTGTTTAGTATCTGGTCCAAATTGGAGATGATGTGTTCTGCACTATGCAATGCAATTCTGTATGCATTATGAAAATACTGTATATGAAAAACTGATCTTATGAGTAAAATACAATTTTGAATACCCAAGAAAACCAAAAGAAAAATTTTAAAATTGAACTTACATTTCTGACATTAAAAACCCTGCACTGCACAGCTATTATGATAAAATGTACATCAACATGGATGTTCCCACAAAAGCACTATGTTGTGCAGAGTTGCACTTTCTGATCATCATCAATCTCACACGATGCCAGAGAATTGTCAGATATCCTCTGATTTAGTGCTGCACAGTGGAGGTCAGCTTGTCTAGTGAGTTTGTGCCCTTACTGAAAAAAGCTTTGTGTTGTGTCTTTATTTTACCAGAACCATCAAAGTCATATACTTATGATCACTATTCTGATGGGTGATTCTGTACTATAGAACACACTATAGAAAGTCTCTGTTATTGATTTTGAGAGCTGTTTCTAAAATGTCTGTTCTTCCATTCACACTCTGTAATGTCAGACCAATCTCTAACACCCTTAATGCATGTAGTTTAAAGTCATAATAGAAGCACTTGAGTGTGGCACATTGACATTACAGCAGTTGTGGACTACAATTGCAAAACATTATTTTCTGCTTTTCACTGAAAAACTAAATGGAGCTCTAATTATAATGACCTTCTTTGAAAGGCTTGGCTGTAATTGGAAAACAGCCCTGGAGACTAGCCATCTACAGAACACTTCAGTAAAAGGCACAAATGGAACAAGCTAAGACTTGCTTGTCCATTTTCTCTGGCTCTGAAGCATACCGAATTCTTTACTGCACCTGTTTCTTTCTCACCGTGTTCCTTCCTGGCTGCTCTAGGCTCGTTAGCGGTGACTCGTATTCATTCAGGAGATGGCCGCAGATCTAGTCGAGTGGAGTGCACTGGTGATGGTGAAAACTGAAAGGGATCGTTTCATCTGTCTGCCATTTATTTGGTTTTAGATCCATCCTGGAATACCAGTGTAATGTGTTCAGTGGGGTATGGTCTTAGCCATGAATGCATTCTAGTCAAATCATCACAAAGTGAAACAAGGCTAGGAACCTTTATGTGCTATTCAGAATGTCTTTCACACTATGCTATGACAATGTAACATTACAAAAAGGGCATGACTGGAATAGCTTGAGATCAGCTCAAACAAGAAAAGCCAGGTCCCTTCCTAGTCTTATAGTAATACCATGTATTATCCAGGTTTAAAAGAGCTGAATACCTTCAATCATGAAAACAGAACAATATGAGTGGACTTGATTCAAGTATCTGAAAGGCATGGACTGAAAGCATATTCAGTACCTGAAAGACATGGACAAAGTCAAACTTCAGGAACAACAGTGACAAATAGACTCCAGGAAACAATAAGTTAATAGCGAAGTGAAGTTAATAAGCGTTTCTCTGCTCAAAGGTGGGATCCTGTTATCTAGCCGTATTGTTAAAGCTGAGACACTGGGATCCTTTGTACAACAGATGTACAGTGTAGACCTTGTGGCATCCTGCTGATTGTAACCTTGCTTCATGTTCTTCTGTTCTCCACTTTGCGTTTTCTCAATCTGGAAACCTAATAACGACGGCAGTCGTCTCATCGGAGAATAGAAATGCTGTCATTAAGAACCGTAAAGTGCATCTGTTCTTTTAATCAGAGAACAGATGACTTTATTTCGAAACAAATGCCAGTCAGACTTCTCCATAGGATATGGAGAAATGAAATGTTAAAGTATATTTGTTTCTTTTTATGCGAGTGCCCTTTGCAGGGGTGGTTTCATTTAGCGCTGGGTTATTTGTAATAACCAAAGGCAATTTGTGTGCAAAACCGGATGAGGAATCCTGAAACAGACTGCTTTGATACAGCTGAATAGAAGACAATCATGTAAGGTACACCATGTGGATGGGTTGCTGATTGAAGTCTTGTACTGGGTGAAAAGACATTCTTAGTCAAGGGCTCATGGAGAGACCTTAACTATCTCACCAGATTCTCATTGTTAGCGAAGCAGAACTGGCGATGCTTGATTACTAATACTGCAATACCCTCTAATGAGGATGTTCCCAGCAAAGACCCATGGGATTTGTCACGACTGTAGTCCCTCCTCCTTAAGGGCGCTCCGGCTCTTTCACTTCGGACCTGATTTTGTGCACCTGCCCCTTGTTCCAGCCTCCTTCCCATCCCCCTTAAACACCAGGCACTCACTTTATTCGGGGCTCTGCATCCGATTCCCATATCATGTGAGCCTGGGACCTGCAATCGTCTGGCTCCGTTATGCTTTTAAGTTTCTGTCCCTGTTCCCCCTGCCGGTTCCGACCCGGTTCCTGTTTTTAACCTGTCTGTTCTCGGATGGACCGCCCGGCTTTGGACTTTCCCCGATTTTGGATTCCCCGTTTGCATTACCTCTGGATTGTTTGCCCCGGACTCACCCCCCTGGACGCCTGCGCACTTTGGACACTCCCCCCCGTATTCATTCCCAATTCCTGCATGACCTTTTCCTAGTGTTTCCTCACTCCACCCTGGATTGTGTAGTCCGCATAGGGTCTGGAAAGAAGTGTTTCGTTACAGAGTTTGCTCCACATTTCCTGCTCTTATGGACAGCATGTTTGCTCCTACTGACACAATTTGTGTAGTCGTTGTCACACCATTGTGTTAAATCAGTTGCTCCATAGCATAGTAACACAAGAGTAATAGTAGAGTTACACTGCTGTAGTGTCTTCTCTGTGGGTAATGTTTGTCTTTTTTTTTGTACAGCTGTATTGGACTGTGCCATAAAAGAAATTTCCCCCAGGGGACAATAAAGCTTTAATTAAAAATGCCTCCTCTCCCTTTACTTATTGGAGCAGCAAAGCAGGATTTACCTTCGTAAGTCCAAACAAGATTTGAAAAGAATGATTGTGGTAAAAATGAACCCTTTTGTCTGTCTGTGAACCAGACAGTTGAGAAGTTCATCATAGGGTTTCATTATGTTGTGCAGGGTAATATGAATATTCCTTGTGTCTCCGTTTTTCCTCACTGTAGTCTGGGCTGCTGGAGCCCACAGTTCACATTTCTGTCTACATTCTGGTCCCCTTAGTGACAGTTAAAGGGTTAAAAACTTTTCAAAAGCCTATTTAGAAAAAAAAAACAATATTTCTTTTAGTAATAGTTCTACCATATTTAAATATTATTATTTTTCACTAAAATTAGAGGAGGACCAACTTTTTTTCCCTATCCTTCGTTTCTGGTGCTTTCATTACAGTGCTAATAGATTCGAGCCTTTTGTTCTTTGACTTAATTTTCTTCAAGCTCATCAAAATGTCAAACCGCCGACTGCAGTTCTCCCTGCATTCAGACATCTTCACAATAGGTCTGTTTCCTTTAAAAAAAAATCAGTGAAGCTCAGTCAAGGGTCTCCCCCCCCTCCTTCTCCTCCCTTGAATAAAGCAAGTTTATTAATCCAGGGGAAAAAAAAGAAAGAAAAGTATAGTGAAAGCATTTTTGTGTTTCATTTTAGTTTTTGAAAACCAAAGAAAAGAAAATCAATTACAGAGCGCACCTGAATATTATTTCCTCACCCAAAAACCAAATTACTCAGCAAACTTATCGCTTGCTATTGCAGGACTGGTATTAAAGAAAACAATCAGGCCCACAGGATTAATCTCTGACAGCAGCCTTATCTTTAACTTGCACCTTTGTTATTTTCTGATGAGCTTCTCCTTTTCGCTGCCACATTGTACCATACCTCACTGGTTCCTTTCATTTTATCATCGGCCAGTGGTGGAGGACCTTTCAGTTTATTAAAAAACCTTTATTTGTGAAGAACAAAGAGGAGAAGAAGGCAAACAATAAGGTCAGGCAATCTCCTTTCTGCCAGGAGTCACTCACCTGTTATTTAGAGTGTTATCAGACAGGGGGATTCACATCGCCGAGAATGGAGCACTGTCAGGCAACGCTCTTAAAAACTGATTGACGCATATCAACCTCTAGTCAAGGACCTTTCCTGCTCCTCATATCACAAGCTGCGGTACTCTCTTGCTTTGGTTGCTTGTTGGACATAGTACTAGGTGCAGGGAAAAACATATCCTTGTTTCAGGAGTTCAGTCCACTTCTAATTATGACATAACGAGCAGATGAATATATAGGAATAGTTTAATTAGTGCTTTGGCCTTCACTTGTCTAGCCGAAGAAGTGACAGCCCCAGCTGAAGATAAGTGCTGTCACAACCCCCCTCACTTAAGAGGAATGAGTCAGGGAGGCAGCTGCTAGGGTGAAGTACAATAAATATGTGATTTATAGGGTTACATTATGCGTAGTGAAGGAAACTTGGATTATCTGAGCCAACTTTTTAAATGAAATTCAGGTAGAAGTTAACTAACAGAGACTGGGGCAAAAGATGTATTATCAGTTTAATCATTTCATGCTAGCTGCCAATACACATGGCATTATTATTTGCCTAAATAATTCAGTAGGCGTTAAAAGGTTGAGCCATATTTCAAAGTTGAGTTCAGGATTCTGTAATAACTCTTCTACTACAAGAAGGCCCAATAAAATATAGCAAATTTGTTAAAAGCACTTCTGACAAGCGTCTTTATTTTTAAGCTGACTGTAAGGAAATGCTTGAATGATTAGTTTTCTTTCTTCTTTTTATATCTCTAAGGATCAAATTCTTATGGTGGACATGTTGTTGGAGATACATGAGCTCTTGTTGTATTACCTAGATATTCTCACTGTGAAAGAGTCTAGGAATGGGGTAACCAGTCCTCCGTTGAAGTATTCTTATAATTGCACAACAGGGATAAAACAAATTAGCCAAGAAATATATTACATGTATTTAAGCAAACAGCTGTCATTAATACAGTGGAGTTTTAGAACATAACAGTATAAGATGCGTTAACACCAAGAGGTCTTCATTTGGCCCATCTAGCTGTTTCGGCAGTTAAGTTATCCAAGGATATCTCACCAGGTAGCTTGTTCCATACCCCTACAGCCCTTTCCATAAAGAAGTGACTCCTGTTCTTGAAGTTAAATGCTCTTCTACAGTTTCCAGTAGTTTCCTCTGGTTTTCATTTTACTGTTTTCTTACCTGCAAATCCTTATTAAAGGACTTGTATTCATTGCTTGCCCCTATTCTTCCTCTTCAAACCTGCAGTGCTGACGCCTGTTTGTATCATTCACAGCAGGTTGGGGGAAAGGAAAAACAATACTGTTCATAGATGCCTCTGCAATATGGAGAAATGACCATGTTCTTTAAATCCGGGTGATTTGAACTGGGCATCTAACGTGACAGAATAAACAAAAAATATCATTATATCTATTTGCAAATTTTAATTTATTATGTTATCTGTTCTACAGGGACATTGTTGTTGAAGCCGATGCCCTGGTTTCTTTCAAGAAAGGGCCGGATAAGTCCTCGGATCAATTAACTCTTATTTGGTAACCTTTCTTATGCTTTTCCTTTCATATTTAAGTTTTATTTTCACCAAATACAGCCAAAAAGTGTTTCTTTTGCAGACTTAAATCCTTGGAATACTTATCCTTCGACTCAGGCAGCAAACCTTCAGATTGTCAGCCCCACAGACAGACTCCACAGCTGAGTGAATGTGAAGCCCCTGTTCCTCAGTCTGCTTCAGGCACTTGAGCTTTCATCGGAGAGGGCTTGAAAGTGCAGAATGAAAGCAGGAAGGGCCCTTCGTGCTGTCAAGAGAACAAACTTTGCATCAAGTGCCCGTACAAACACTGATTCTGTTTGGACCAAATTGTATTAGAAAAAATAAAATGAGATAAGGGAAAAAAATACTCATAAAATTTTCACTGAAAAAAAAGATATAAAATGGCTTGGTAACATTTATGTTAGCTGTCATTCATGTAGATATTCTTCATTTGGTAACGTGTGTGTGTACACTACTCTGTACAGTATTAAAATTCTCTTCAGCAATTTTAAAAAGCACTACAAACCTATGTCTAAAGTGGGTTAAGTTTAAATTATGGAGAAAAAGTTTTAAAAAGCTTTAGGATTCCTGCAGCTTTACTACTTTGTGCCTGATTAATCTTAAAATCTGTAAATCGTAAAACATCGAGGTAATGGAAACGCACACACCACTTCTGATTGGAAACTACGAGTACTCAACTCAGAAGACTTTCGGTTGGTGAGGGGAATTTGCACATTCAGTGCTTATAGAACATAGCCTATTGTTTCTCTACTAGCATCCTTTAAATCCTTAAAGCTTTCAGAAATACAAGGTTTTCTATTTAGCTGTGGACTAAGAACGAGCAGCAGCCATCCTCCCAGCCACCAGGGGTCGCTATTATGCAGTTAGATGACACCCCCCCACACACACACAAACACCAATTTTAAAATGATCTCTGATTACACTCAAGCAAATTCGATGCTACTGAAAGGGATTTCACATTTAAGTTTTAATCATATAGGCATTGATTCAATTAGGAAACTGTTGCAGCAGCTGGCTTCTTGTTAATATTAGCAGAAGACATTTTGGACTAGCCAGTTCTAAAATCTCTGGTCTCCAGAGCTCACTGAGCATTTTAAAGCACAAAATTTAAGACTTGCCAAATTTTTTAGAACGCTTTTAAACAAATCAGTAGGTAGCTCGTTAGAATTATAATCTCAACAGAAAATGTTAAAAGACGACAAGGGAACATGTAATGTATTGTAACGCTACGGGATTCAGGTGGGCGCCCTCGCCTGCTGCCTACACAGGGCGGCCCCCCACCGTCGGGGACTCAAACCCGGGCCTCCGGCATCACTCAACAGGGACCCAGCCTGGTGAGCTAAAGAGAGATCTCCTGCTATCACAGGGAAGGGCGTGACGTCACCGCTCTGGTAAGCCGGCTTTCACACTCAATGGTGGCTGTAAGCGTTACAGTATGTAAATATTGGTGAAAAAATGAGTGAAAGGAAATAGCAGCTCGCAACAGTTACAAAAACCACAGTTTGGAGAAAGGGAATGTTATATATATATCCAGAGGGTACCATTACGTCACAATGTATCACTCCAGAAATGGCCTTGATTTTGGGAAACCACACAGATGCTAGAATTGACCTCATCACATTACAAAAACTAGTTAAGGAGAATCATTAACTCCAGCATGATAATGGACAACCTTTGACGTATCTTGAAAGTGAATGGATGTGGGACGAAAACTGAAGCAATTCCACAATCATCAGATTGGCCTGCAGCCTGACCTTGGAAAGAGCTGAAGACAGGAGAGATGAAACCAGACAACCAGATTGTGTTCATGATGGCACAATCCAGACCTCATGGACAATTGTATCGTTTTATCACACATGAATTGCTGTACCAGTCCACTGCATCACTGATTGAGGTTTAAATTTGTGGGTCAGGGAAAAGTCTGCAATTGTAAAAGAATGGGCCTAGTCTGTTACAAATTGCTGCAGTGAAGACTCTTCAATATGTGATCAGTGATCCAAGACTCAAAATGATAAAACTATTGTCAAGATATTTTTGTCATTTCCTTTATTTCACCAGTTGATTGCTCTTTCCCTTTTATTAAAAAGACTGATTCAGATGCCTCGTTAAAATGAATAGCTGTTTATTATTTTCTGGATTGTTTCTTGTTGTCCTTTTAGCCTGCTAAGCTTGTCCCCTGAAAGCAGAAAACACGAGTGTTACGGTAATTCATCAGAACTGAAGAGATTAAAGACAAAAAATGCCCAATGTTTTTGTAGTAAGCTGCACGGTGAAGATTTAACACATAACACAGTTATTAGCAGTGTTGCAAGACGGTGGTAGAGGAAGTACCGGTTTGCCGAAAGGTGCAAATGACAAAAGAAAGGGTTTGCCGGCGAAGCTCGAAGCGGCCGGGGGCAGAGAGCTGCTTCTGGCTGCCAGCACGCAGCGAGGGGAGGCCAAACACGGAGCCTGCCTGCCACTGCAAATCAGAGCCAGCATCTGCTTTGACAAGTGTTCACATTCACCTTCTCCTCCTTATCTCCGTTCTCTCAGGAAAGCACTCCGGAGGCCCCGTCGCCTAATCTTCCCGCTGATACGGCTGCGCTTCTGCATTAGTCTGGCGCAACCTGACAGCACAATGGCTGTATTCCTCCCCCCCCTCAGAAAAAAACACACAAATAAAATACAAACCTTTATTACAAAAGCACTGCTAGCAGTAAAACAAGAAAACGTGATCGTCTTTGCCTAAATGATGAGAGCTGCAACAGTCTACTTGTTTATTATTCGCTGCACTTGTAAGCAATTTCTTTAGGGATCTAAACGGAAGCACACAGACCCACTGCTCTCCTGCATTGTCGAACCTCTTTATTGTTTGATGTCATTATTGAAGTAAATGGACACCATAAACACTTGACACAACCGTTAGGCATGGAGCGTCCCAACTCTTCTAACTCAACATCAAACGGTATGCTAATAACATTAGCATCAGTAATACCGCGGCACCGAAAAGGTATTTATGAATAATATACATAGAATCCGAGCTGTTTAATGCAGCTTAAAAATATCAAATACCATATGAACATTTATTATTCAATTATTCAAGTGAAAAGTTCAAGTAAAAGGGAAGTGGTTACATTATCCTTCTTGAAACTGTTTGGAAAACCTGTAATACCACAAGGAACCTTTTTTTTCCTACAAAACTAATGCCAAACAGTTCCCTGGTTTCCTACATTATTCTTACATTATGTAAGACAAAGTACATTATTAACAAGGACAAAAAAGAAAGCCTGATCTGCTTTTTGAGCCTGCTCTGAAAATACTGACAGAACACATTTGCGTGATGTGGTTGTGTTAGCTACTGTATGTAGGAAACTAGTCTACATGCAGTCTGGAACAAACTACCCAGCCATGTTGTGGAAAATGATACCACTGCTTCTGTCAAAAAACACGGATAGATGAGATTCTGGGATCAATTAGTTAGTAACAGCTAGCTCAATGGACCAAATAACCTCATCTCATACTGTGTTTCTCATACTGGAACTGCAACTAAAGTTTGTTTCACATTTGTCCAAATTCTGGTGGATTTTCAGAACTAGGTACAAACACCTTTAGATAGCAGTTAATGGTTGTTAGGTTTCATAATTTAACATAACATACAGCAGGCATAATATCTTCAGACATTATCCAGCAAACCTCCACTGCCCAAGATGTAGCTCACTGGATGAAAAGGAACAAGTAATACGTTTATTCCATGCTGAAAAAAAGAAGAAAGAAAGCACAACGTTTAGGCCGTGGAGCCTTCTTCAGGTGTGAGAAAGACAAGGCAGTAAGTAAAGGTAATGTAGCAGGAGAACAAAGGCTGGGAGAGAGGAGGAGCGAGAGGCGGGAGCAGGGGACAGAAAGAGAGGTCAATCAAGAGGTGTGAAGTCAGAATAGGTGTAGAGAGGTGTGAAATGAAACTTCCAATGAATGGAGAAGATTTAGAAGAAAAGTAGTTTGTCATTAAGGGAAGGGGGAATGTGTGATCCTAGCTGCAGGATAATTTTGGTTTCTGTAGTCTTTCTGATGTATGAGTTCGGAAAACCGTCTTTGAGAACACAGATGGAGAGATTAGAGTGGTCGTGGCCGTCAGAGGTGAAAATAGAAACAGTGGGCTTGGAGAGATCTTGAATCTTCACAGCCCTGACGTGTTCTCTGAAGCGGTCTCCGAGTCTCCTTCCTGTTTCTCCAATGTAGATGGCTGGGCATTTACTGCAAGAGACACAGTAAATAAGGTTGCTGGAGGTACAAGATGCCATCTGGGTGATCCGGAATTGTCCCGAGGGGCCTTGAATGAGTGTGGTGTTAGATGAGTACTTGCAGGTGATACAGCGAGCTCTGTTGCAAGGGAAACTGGATGAATACACATAATAAATGAAATTCATATTTATGTCGTGCCTCTCATTATACTGAAGAAAGAAGAGATTTTCTGTACTATTCCTTTGACAAGCTTCCTATAAGCAAAAACAGATCTCAGAGCGCAGGAAGATGACTTCAAGGGAGTACATTTAAACAGCTGATGGCTTGACAACATCTCTACAAAACCCTGCTGTAACGGAAGCGTTCTTTCCAGACCCTATGCAGACAACACATTCCGGGGTAGAGTGAGGAAAACACAGGGGAAAAAAGCATGCAGGAGTCGGGAATGAAAACAGGGGGCGTGTCCATAGTGCGCAGGTGTTCTGGGGGGGGTGAGAATCCAAGGCAAACTGTCCAAAGGAAAATCAAAGACGGGGCAAATGTCCAGAGCTGGGCGGTCCATCAGAGACGAAGACAAACAGGATTAAAAACCGGAGCGGGATCCGGTAGAGGGTCGGAGGAAGGAAAAAGCGGGGGAACGGCACCAGGCGCTACAGGTCCCCAGACTCGCCTGGTACAGGGACCAATGCAGAAGCCGGAACAGAGTGAGCGTCTAGCTTTTAAGGTGGGCTGGATAGGAGGCTGGAACAGGGGGCAGGTGCACAAAATCAAATCAGAAGTGAAAGAGCCGGAGCGCCCTTAAGGGGGAGGGGCTACAATCATGACACCTCCCCTCGCCATTTCAACAGAAGAATGTGTCTAGCGCAACTTAGATATCCTAAAATCTGGAAAATGTTACCGAACACAGTATTTGAACACATTTGGCAGGTTATGGACTGCTTTGTAATACGCCAGACTTCTGATGCTTCATGTCGTCCATTTTGAAATACGAAAAAATATCTACATCCTAACTGGCTTCTCACCCACCTGGTCTGAACAGTGCTGGCGCCGTGTTTGTGTCGGCACGTCAGCTCTTTGAAGAATGTCATTTGGAAGCCTTTCCTATTTTTTGATTTTCCTGTCCAAAATGAGAGCGTGGCTCATTCGTATTAACCTTATCTCCACTTCTTCTTTCTTTAAAGGACAGATATTTCTGACAGGTTTGGCAGATCCCGCCAGCCAGTACATTTGTCGGAGACGTTCAAAGTTTCTTACACATAGCTT